TCTATTCAGGATATTCATAGTTTATTTGACTCTACATAAAAGACGTAGCCTCGACCGAAGTTTCCGATTAGAGGAAGGAACTTCTCCTTCCCGAAAATATTCGATTTTCTGCTAATTTTTTTTTTCAGTTTTGTAGCAACTTTGGACAGCAGTCGAATTTTCAAAGACTATTTGCTGTTCTCTGGTAGACAATGAAATAAAAATAAACAGATAATACCGTTATCAGATGGATAGGATTACGGAGACCTTGAATGAAGGACAACCTAGTGATAAGTAGTCTGTTACGAGAGAGATCAAGTTACGATGACTTTCATTCTTCTTTATTCTCGGACTATTATTGTGAAAGAGTGAAGATGCAACATACATTCTGTACATTATTATCAGTAGATTTGAATTGCTAGCATAACTAGTAAAAAGAAAAATTTGAACGAAGTATGATATCATAAATTATCAATATTCATATTTATCATTGAGAGTGTCTGTCGTTATAATTGCAATCATTTATTTTAAATTATCAAATATCAATATGAAGAATATTCATTTAAAGTATTTTGAAGTGTTAAAATTCAATGCAAATAACAAAACATTAATGGTTATTTATTGATTGCTATTACGCACCTTCGAGCAGTATCCATATAACATATTCTTTTGTTCTATTGAGAAGATAGCTTTTTATGAATAAAATATAAATAGTACTTAGTTCTCTTTCTCTTATACTTGATCGAATAGAACATATATAGATATTATTGATATATTCTTTGTTCAATTTAAAATGAGTAAAAATCAGTTCTATATATTTATTTTGACAATCATAACGATTGATAAGTAAAAGTTAGAATATAGTATATTTTTCGATTATTGTCAATCATTTGATATATATGGTCATATATAAAATTATTTTTTTGATTGATTAATTTGAAATCTATATTTATGAGATTATACTGATTTAGCTTTTTTCCTTTTTTCTTAATTAATACAAAAGATAATTTGATTTAAAAATAAACATTCTATTAAAAAAACAAATCAAAGTCGTTTTTTTAGCCTTATTCCCTACAGAATTAGAGTTCATTTAGAGATTATAACCTTGGTAGAAAAGAAAAATATTCTTTGATATAATCGTCTTTTTTTTTGTGAAGCTTTGATTAAGTCTTATATTAGTAATGACAAGATTCGACTTGATTACTTTCTAAATTCTTTTTAACGAATAAAACATGTTCATTTAATATCACATAACATTCTATGAAAATTCTTTCGGCTAGAAAACTTCTAGATTAATTAATTAAAGAATAGCAAGCATTCCTTCTTTTTTTGACTCTCTTTTTCTCTATTCTCCTCCTTTTTTTTTGCTTCTAATAAAGTGACGCAAGATGAGAAAAACACAAGTTTGCCTACTAATAATCGTCAATCGAACCTACTCTTCTCTCACTATATGAATTGACCTTTATGTCAAACAGAGTAGAGTTCACCATGCCATGAAGAATTAAAGCATATAAAACTTTCTTTCATCATTTTCAAAAGACAAAAAAAGAAGAAGAAATTGAATTTTGTATGTATTATAGGATAGAAAATATAATCAACATGAAATTACTAATCAGATTTCTTTATCGCTTATATTCAATTCTATTAAACAGTAATACACCTGCTTCGTTGAACCATTAGTATATAGTTTTCTTTTTTTGTATATAATATATGTCTGCGTGTAACTATTCATGCAAGAAAAATAGTAGCGAAATCGAAAACTAAGAGATCTATTAGGAATACACAAAGAATGTATTTCAACGATAGATATCATGAACATGATAAAGTGGAAAAAAAAATCCCCAATAGAATACACATATATTTGTTGTCATGATCATCATGATCATCCTTACTTCTTCGCCTTGATGGTGATAATTTAACCTTTTTTCCAATTACAGTGAGTCAATTCATGCAAAGCTATGACTTTAGCTTTTTTTTTTTTAAATATATATACAAAAAAAGAATAGAATCAATATAGATGCTATTATTCAGTTTTATTACTGACGACAAATGAGTTTAGTAATAATAATAACAGTAACAAGTCTTGAAACACTCTTAGTAAAAAAAAGAAAAATGTGACAGAGAAGTGCAACAAGGAAAGAAAGATGTGTCAACTATGCCTGGTTGCGTTGCATATAAGAAGACAACTGCATTTTGTTAGCGGAAGATGACACATCCAAGGCTCATTTCCTTCTACATTTCACTTGTTCGCTCGTTCATAAAATAGCATGAGAAATGATAAAAGAGCAACTAACTGTCTACCACTTAAAACTAACATGCTACTAGTTTTCACTTATACTTCTTTTTTTTTTAAGAATTACAAACAACCGACAATCATAAAAGAAAAAGAAGAACAATGAGTTATTCGTAAGAAAAGAAATGGATAAGATGAGCTAATTATTCGTCTTATATTTAACAGAGAAGAATTAATCAGCTAATTTAGAATGACAGTGGCAATTGATCTTCTCATTTTCTTTTTCTTTTTACTACTCATTTCATTAGTAAACATAATGGTCAGACAGACGGACAACTGTCCATTTTATCTGTCCCACTGGAGGATGTATCCTATATTATTTGAAATGCCACAATTAATAAATACATCATCAATGTTCTTGTCGTCTATTTATGTATATATATATATATACATATATACGAATGTGTTGTTCTTCCATTCATTTAAGTGACAGTCTAACACTTGAATATCTCATATGATAGATCATCATTAGACCATAGAATATGTGAAACAAAAAAAAAACTATGGAATGGAAAAAAAATGAGCAACTGATGGTTAACAAATATTACTCGATTTTTTCGTTAGCGTGCTTTTAAAGCTTGAGCTTGGTATCGGATGATCGGCGGAAACGATAATTTCTCAAATAACATAGCAATAAGATGTGTTCCCTTTCGTTCTCATTTTGTAATATAGAAGGGGTGGAGATCTTCTAATGAAGAAGTCGTCGTCGAAGAAAAGATGATGAAATAAATAGAATAAACTGTTCTTCTTTTCTATGATGGTTATTTCAGAGTATGAGAGAAGACGAGAGGAGAGCGTAAGAGGGGAGAGAGAGAGAGAGAGAAAGACAATGAACGAGAAGAAGGAGAAAAGAGTGAGAGAGCAAAAAGAAGGGAAAATAATTTCGGATAGATGATGGTGAATGTGAAGAAAAGAACGAGAAAAAAGGGAGAAAAGAAACAGTCGATTGTCGTAGATCTGCTCGATCTGTTTTGAACAACGCCAACATCAGTCAGTCAAGCAATTCGTATGTGGTCAATATTCGTCTTATTGTTAATTCTAGTTCCACTTGTTGCACCGATTAATGTAAGCGCTTATATGATTAATCAAACAACAGCAAATATATCATGGATATATCCACTTGATAAGAATAATCCCGATGATATCTCATTACTCGGTGGAATGATAAAAGGTTTTTATGTTATCGTTTTTGCACCTTTATCAATGCAACCACCTATTGTACATCGTAATTATGAAGGTACAATTGGTACACAATATTGGGATATTGTTGGCAATTTAACACCTGGTACAACATATCATGCACAAGTAAAAGCTTTTACAAAAAAAGGCGATGGAAAACCAAGTGTACCATATATATTTACAGTACCAAAAGAAGATTTTCGTGAGTGAAACAAAACCAAAACAAGAAAAGAAAATCCTAATCATTCATATTGTATTTATTTTTCTTTGCATTGTATTATTTATAATTTGAGTAGAGATATTATAGTACGAGAGAGATTTACTTAGCGTGTATATGAATGAAAAGTAATTGATCATCATGATGATCACTGGACACGCCCTTAATGCTCGAAAAAAAAAGAAAAGAAAATGTGATGAAAAATTACTTTTCTTTATTCTTTGCGTTTTTTTTTTCATATTTTATCTCTTTTTCTTATATATTCGAGAGCAATAATTGTGATGAAGGAAAAAAATGATGGAAAAAAGAATACTCCGTTATCTTGTCGATGTATGCTCATCACCATCAGTAACAGCAGTAGTAGCAGTAGCACTACTACTCCAGCAAACACACAGAAATCAATAATGAAAGTTCTTATGCAATTCTCGGCTTTTTTTTTCTCTTCGCTTTCTCATACACACATAAGATGTAATAGTAATCGTAGTCAGTCTTACTCTACTGTATTGCCTCCTGGTTGGGGGTACTGATGTGTCTATCAATAATTGTCTACTTTTGTATAGACTTTCATTGTGAATATTTACATCCTGTATGAAGATAAATAAGTTTATATGACAATTCAGGTGGATACATTTTTTTTTCTCGCTTATAAGAAGATCTTATTAAATGAAATAATCTATGTAAGTTGTGCAATGCGTTAAAGCGTATAATAAGGTTAGCTCAATTGATTGTTGTCCGGCTGGTGATGTTTTCAAACAAGATGTTGTATCTAATTTACTTTTAGTAGCTGCTGGGAAAACTTGTTTTTTTTTCTTCTTGCATCACCCATATGTCATAGGTCACGATCGTCCGTATAAAAGAACTAGTGAAAAGTAATGCCCAATTTAGTATGTATGCTTGTCGGAAGTTGCCGTTCTTCTATTTTAGTGCGTGACAGACATCCAACTAATTCTTATTTTAATACATAAGAAAAACTTGACCGACAATGAAGTGAAAGAGAATACAGAACAAAAAGATGTCTTTATTGATCGAATTCTTTCCAAAAGATCTTATCAATGTTGATGAGGAGGAACAAGGTTTTATATTTATTGTTGATTATTCTACTATATTCAATAAGCGAGATAAGATTTTATATATATATATGTAAGTTTATATTTCTAGTCATAGTTAAATCATGTGTGAATGTCATTGAAAGTCTAATGCATTCGATAAGTGAATGTGCGAGAAAAAAAAAATTGATCTTTGAATATTAAAGACTGAATGGATAAATTAGCCTAAGGCATATTATTGTCTGAATATGATGGACACAATGATTGAATATGTTGTATAATAAGTCTATATATAAAATTGAATTAAATTAAAATCGAAATGTTCAATATTATTTAATTTATGTAAATATTGAATTAAAAACCAAGTTTTTTTATGAAAATATTTATAAGAATTTTTAATAAGAACTATTTGAACTTCAATCCATGCATCATCTGTATTTAATGGATGATCTAAATAAACTATATCAAGTGTATGATAATGAAGAATATTGTTAAGATTCTTAGTTTTTGGTAATTCCCATTTTTCATATTGATTTTTTCTTAATAAAATATATTTTTTATTATTTTCTTCTTTTATTATTAATGATATTATATAACGATTAGAACCATAGTTATCTAATAAACTTTGACCAATTAAACCTGTACGTCCATAAGGATTTTTTTCAATATTAAAATTTTTATTTGATGAATTCGAATTTTTTAATGAAAATTTCAATGGATGATAATTAGGAAAGATAATACTCCATGATAAATATTCTGTTGGTACATATTGACGTTGAGATTGAATATAATTTATAAATGTTTGTAAAGAAGATTTATTATTATTTAATAATAATAAAGAATTTTTTCGACAAAAATAATTTTCACATTGATTTGAATGAAATATTTGCCATTGAAATAAATTTGAATCAAATATATTTAGTTGAAAATATTTATTAGACGTTTTCGATAGGTTTTTATTTAATAATGAATTAAAATTTATTTGAAAATAGTCATTAAAACATTTTGGTACAGTTGGAATTGAAGAATATTTTAAATGAGTTTTAGTATGTAATGGAATTGAATGAGATTTAGGATTTGTTTTCGATTTTATTATTGATCGAGGTGTTGCATTAATACTTGTTTCAATATTTGTATTAATATCTTTAATTAATTGATTAATTGTTATTTGACATGATAGATCATGTTCATATTTAGATTTTATTGCTAAAAAAGAAAATTCGAACAGGAAAACTTGTTTAGGTTATTTGTTTTTCTTCGTTCTATGATTACATTTATTGTCAATTAATATTGATTTTTCATTTGATTGATAATGTGGTGTAGAAAGTTTTTCGATTAACATTTCTTTATTCATTAATTTCTATTATAGAAAATGATTATTATATTAGATAAGATGAGATAAGCGCATTATTATTTACGAGTTTTTTCGTTGGAGAATAATTTAAATCGATAGATGATGATGATGATGATGATGATGAGAAAGGTACAAGAGAATCATTATTCTGTAGTTTAGAAAAGAGATATATTTGACTAAATAATAAAATTTGATTTATGGTATTAAAATAAACATGACCATGCCTGATGAATAAGAGACTTTTTTATTGAATTTGATATTAGATGATTTGAATATGATGAAGTTTTAGTCATTAATTGATCTTCTGCATTCATCGTCTAAGGAATTACACTTTTTAGTTTATCTTTCTAGAGAAAAAGTAATAAGACATGAAAGTTAGAGACATCAGAGACTAAGTTTGTTTTGGTTCTGGTCACAATGATTCTAATTTTTGAAGTTCCAGCATTCAGAAAATCATTCCAGAATTTATTCGTATCACATATAAAATCATTCTTCAATACTTGTTTTGTTTTATTTCATTAGTTGACGACTAGTACTGTTTTTTGAGTCATCACTCTTGAATTATGTCCTGATTCATATAATTTATAAGACGGTTTGCATAAAACTATAGAATATGTTTACAATAAACTTGAGTTTCAGTTTCCATAAAGTTTGTTTTACTTTTTGGTTCTGCACATCACTAATCAAGAGTCAATAGTCGATCGTGAATGATAGTATGCATTTGCAGAAATGTGCTTTGATCGTTTATACATGAAGATGATATCATGTAAATATTTGAATTCAAATATATGAGGAAAATATTCAAGAATTTTTCTGTATATTTCATTGAAATTTTATAAATAGTCAACATAGTTACTCTTATTTGGTCAAACATCGATTTTGAGTTAGTTACATTTATGGATAAAAGTCTTTTCCGTTCCATCCAGATCTCAGCCATCATGAGGCAATAGAGGCCTGAAAATTTGTTTGCTCGTACTCCACTATGAATGTATGTCAATAGTACTATCCACATCCTGTTTGGTTGAACAGACACACTAGGTTATTATGAATGGTATCCATCTTTGCTTTGAGCTTCATAATCCTTGAGGGGGAGGAAGTTCCGGGTCGACAAACCTATTATTATGTGGCACTATACTTCAGCTATCTGTCATAAAAATTTCTGGAGAGTTCGTCAATCTCTATATAGATTATAGTCACTCTATTCTCAGCATTGATGTGCACAAAGTCATTTGTTATCCTTTAAAAATCCATAACTCAAGAGGAAACATTCAAAACTGTTTAATCGATTTTTGCTTGAGACTATTGTTATTCGATTAATCATGATGAATAGTGAAAAATTTCTGCTATGGTTTGGTTTTTCACTTTTAATTTGTTAAGTAAGGGTCGTTTTATTCGCTTTTTGGCCTATGACTATTGGTTCACTAGAAATTTGAATGAACGAATTTCGAACTAAAATTTTGATCATAGAGAAGTCGTATGGTAATTAGAAACTTTTCAAAGTTTGAATCAGAATGAATGCATTCATATCAAGATATCCGTTTTTAATGAAAATATTCTTGTGTTGACATACAACTCAAAATAGGCGCTTTGTTTAACATATGAATATGTAAATTAGGATATGTTCGTTCTGACCTCAGTTTTGACAAAATTTCAGCTCGAAATTCGTTTATTCAAATATCCAACGATCTCATGCTCATAGTCGAGAAAAAAATGAGTAAAATGTCCCTTAATTTAATAATTGACGGTTTAAAAACCAAAACAATCTTTTCATTATTCATCATGACTGATCGAATGGCAATAGTCTCAAGTGAAAAGTGCCTGGATCATTATACATGCTTTCTCATCAGTAATAGTTCAAAAAAATAATCTGAAATTTGTATAGAATCATTCTCGATATGTTGACATTGTTTTTTTTTTTACAAAGTCACAGAATCAAATGTTGTACTAGAGCGACATGACATACAGATGATCATCTTGTTAGTGTCAAGAATCCGAAGACTAGTATTCAAGCAAATAAAGTTATCTTTTGAACGAAGAAGAACCATAGACCGTACTTATGTTTTACATAAAAACCATCAGCATTAATCATGCATTTGATAAGCAACAAAACAAACTTTAGAGTAGACCGCCTTGCACATTTATATATCTTACAGTATGAAAAATAGATTTCATCCATTAGAACTAGGTTTCCACTCAAGTAAGCAAGATTCAGATGATGTCGCTAGTTTACATATCTGTTGAAGTATGTGCACACAAATTTTCAGGCTTCTAGACATTATGATGATCGAGAACCAAAGGAGGAAAGACTTTCATTCAGGACCATAAATCGGATAACAGATTTTAAAATTCTAGGAACAAGCCGATTTTAGTAGAAATCGTTTTTTTTAAAGTCTACATATCATAGCGTATCAGTTCTTTTCAAACTTCGATTTATTTTTGCTTTTTCATTTAAAACATTGAAGAGTTTTTTACTCACACAAAAAATTATTTAAAAATATCCCCAAGACTTAAACATAAATTGATTTTCGAAAACATTTTCCGTTTTGTATTATCAACATTGATGGAAATCATAATACAACACGATGTTAGCGATGCTTTCTCGAAGATTATTTCCGCAAACACGAACCCCATCATTTCCGATGTACTTGATGCTGTAAAACATTTAATAGAATTGAAGTTATTCTATTTATCAACAATATATAGTCCAAACAGGAAAAAAAAGAAGCGTAATGGTAAACATGACTATTTTCATCTTACAAAACTTTTTTGTCTTTCTGAAGAAGAAAATGGATCATGTGCAATATCTTTTTAGTTTTATTTCTCAATACTAATAAACAATATTTTGTTCATAATCCATTACAATTAAAAAGCTATCAATAGTAGAGCACGTCTTGTACAAAATATTCGGGCCGGGATTTATTTCTTGAGGTTTTCAAGATTTGGGACCGGACTTGATCCGATAGGTCTTAGTCGATAGAACAATATGATAGAATTTCTCTTAAAAAAAAAGAGAATATTATTTGTACGTTTAACTCACATCATCAATTAATGTAATTGGTTCGATAATATTACTATCGTTTGATGATCTTTGACTAAGTCTAGTTTTTGGTGGACTTGGTAAATGACGAAGAAGACTTTCATATGAACGATGTGATGATAAGATTTTCTAATTAAATTTCAATATTTATTTTATATAATAATTGAATTAGAATAAAACCTTAATAGACTCTAATGATTTATTGTTTTCAAAATTTTTTATCGATGAATTTTGTTTATTACTTGATTGAAAATTATTATGAAAACATACTGGAATATCATATAGAGGAGAATTATTTTTATTAATATCATCTTTCCAAATATCTATTGATGATAAAATAGCATTATAATTTTTTTCATTTCTATTTGAATTAATTGAATAATTTAATGTTTGATTTTGATGAAAGCATTCTGATGCAAATAAACAACATAAATAACAAGTTTCTGTTTGTTTATTTATTTTATATTGTGCAATAAATGAAGATAAATCGATACCATATGTATGATTATATTGATGTTTATTCTCGGACATGAGTATCTCATTATTAAGATTAGATATATTCATCAATGTCAAAAAAACAAAAAAAAATACCTCAATCAAATAAAAAATATTTTACCGCTTTATTTTCTTCTATTTAGGACAATTAACTCCAAGTAATTTAACAGCATATGTTGTCAATGCTCATACATTAAGTATTACATGGGATTTACCATCAAATGTAAATGCTATAGATAAAATTTATATAACTGTTATTGAACTTGGTCAAACAAATCGAACTATACAATCACAATCATTTGATAATACAATTAAAAAATTCGATATTCAAATTGATGCTAATGATCCATTTGGTATATGAATAAATCTTTTGTTTTTCTTTTGATTTATTACAATAAGCATTTCTCTCTTTTTTTTTATTTTCTAAGGTATTCATCCAAATCGAACTGTCTATTTTGCTGCTCGATGTTCAGATCGTAATGGACAAAATTCATCAATAATTGAATATCAACTTTATGTCAATATGCTCAGTAAGTTTAGATGCATAAAATACATATATTTTACTTCTTTTTTTTTTCTCGTCTTTATTCAATGTTTTAAACCTCTTAAAATATGCAAAGATTCAATGAAAAAGAACAAAGACATTTTTCTCCTTCGCTTTTCTTGCTGTGTGATGTTGACAGAACGACATCCTGTTGTAAAAGCATGCGCGCTTGCACATACACATACACTCTCGAATGAGTGGCAGCCATTATTATATTTGATTTATGTCACACGGAAAAGAAGGATGATCGATTGACATATAGAGAAAAAGAAAGAAAAAAGAAGAAGAAGAAAAAACTCGAAGGTCTTTCAATAGAATAAGAGAATTCTCGTGCGTGTGAGTATGCGTGTGTTTTTTTTTTGTATCTAAATGTTCAATTAAATGTTGAATTTAATAAACCAAATGGGCCAACACATCTATTTTGTCATAAATCAGATCATGTGCATGACTAAGGCTTCATATTACATCTATGCACATACATAAACATGCATGCGACTCAGTTCGACTTCATCAACCTCTCATATTCGAGATTTCTTTTTTGATGCTGTTCCCATTCTTTGCCGTTCTTTTCTTTCTTCTATAAAGCGAACACATACATACACACATTTCTTTTTTGTTTGCATCTTCTGAGTAGACAAAAAAAGGCAATAGAACCATTAGCAATAGATATCTCTCTTTTTTTTCTTCTTCTTCGTCCTATCCTCTTTTTTTTTCTCTTTGTGGCATTAACTGCCGTGAAGAGAAAAAAAAGAATCAAGTTAGTATAGAAATACAGAACGAGCGAGAACGTTCAACCAAAGAAAGTTTCTTTTCTTGACATTACACAGATGTAAAATTTGATCGTTTTTTCTTCCCAACTTCCCTATCTTAATGTGGTTATTATTAAAACAAGAAAAAGAAACGTATAGAAAAAAAACCAAGAAGAAGAAAGAACTTATCAATGAGTCTTTCATCATAGATTATTGTATTAAAACTAAAGAATAGAAATAACTAACGTCTATTACATAATGATACAGACAACAATAATCATACAAAACCAATCATTATTTTAATATCTTACTTCATGTTTCATCATATTCTTATACTACTACTTCTTTTCCTAACTTATCATCCAATCTTCAATGTTACTGTACCTCCAAATATATATTATGCTCAAGTGCCTCATTTATCAACTTGTAAGATAAAATTAAACTTTAATAGTTTCTTTTTTTTTTGACATAAAAATATTTTACATAATT